GGAAAATTTGGAAGAACAAGCAATATCTAAATTAAACTATAAGTGTGAATTTTTTAAACGATATGTTGATGACTGCATAGTGTGCCTCCCAAAAGACAAAATTCAATATACACTAGATAAGTTTAATGCCCCTTATGACACCCTAAAGTTTACTCTCGAAGAAGATAAAGGAAATTCTATAAACTTTCTAGACCTGACAATTAATTATGATAACAACGAGGAAATCAAAGCCAAATTGGTACACAAAGGAGGTATGGTCTGGTAGGTACCTGAATTATCAATCTACGCTCCAATGAAATATAAAAAAAGTGTAATAACGGCACTTACAGATAGAGCCATTAAATTGTCACATGTGTGATCTGATGAGGCTGTTGACGAACTGTGATTGTTTTTTAAATTAATGATTTTTTTACTGTTATTTTAGAAAAACTGATGATGGTGGAAAAATACACCAAAACGTATTTTAATTGATAAATAAAGAAGAAATTAATTTTGATTACTCGATCAAGATGCGGGGTTTTATCTTTATTACAGTTCTTGCGTCTTAAACGCCCCCCTGAGCGAACGTTTACCAACGTGTTTATTTAATTTTAGCGCAATTGTGTCGATGGACAAGCACTTGTTCTACCAGAGACTCTTCAAGTTCTGCATGACTTTGCCGATCGTCGCGCTGGTAAACAACGTCCTAAAGTTCGCTATCGGTGATCTGAAGATCCGGCTCAGATCCAACCTGACCAGGCGACTATACGAAGACTACCTGAAAAGCTACACTTACTACCGAATATCCAACTTGGACAACCGAATAGCCAATCCGGATCAACTGCTTACCAACGACGTTGATAAGTTCTGCGAAGCCATCACCGACCTCTATTGCAACACGGCAAAGCCCATGCTGGACATCGGGATTTATGTGTATAAACTGTCAACCACCATGGGGGGAGGCACGCCAGGGCTGATGCTCTCCTATTTGTTCGTCTCGGGGCTGATCCTCACCCACCTGCGCAAGCCGACAGCGCGACTCACTGCCGGAGAACAGAAACTGGAGGGCGAGTTTCGGCACATCAACTCGCGCCTGATCACCCACTCAGAAGAAGTGGCCTTTTACAACGGGAACCTGCGCGAAAAAGCCACCTTGCTGGCCAGCTACAAGAAGCTGCAGAACCACCTGAGGGCCTTCCTGCGGTTCCGGGTTCTGATGGGAATTGTTGACAATTTGGTGGCGAAGTACTTTGCAAGCATAGTGGGATTTGTGGCCGTCTCCATCCCGTTCCTCTCGGGGCGAATAGCCAAGGAGAGCCACGGGGAGCGCTCCCGCTTGTACTACACCTACGGCAGAATGCTGGTGAAGCTAGCCGAAGCCATCGGAAGACTGGTGTTGGCCGGCCGCGACTTGACGCGCTTAGCCGGCTTCACCGCCCGAGTAACCCAGCTCAGAACCGTCCTGGCCGAGCTCAACCAGGGGAAATACGTGCGAACAATGGTGGCCGGCTCAGAGAGCCTGAAGCCCAACGGGGGCAAGCTGATCTTCCAAAACAACGTCATCAAGTTCAGCAAGGTGCCGCTGGTCACACCCAACGGCGACATTCTCATTCCAGAGCTCACCTTCGAGATCCGATCGGGGATGAATGTGCTGGTGTGCGGCCCCAACGGCGCCGGCAAGTCCTCCCTGTTCAGAATCCTCGGGGAGTTGTGGCCGTTGTTTGGGGGCGAAGTCACCAAGCCCCCCAGAGGGAAGCTCTTCTACATCCCGCAGCGCCCTTACATGACTCTGGGCAGCTTGCGGGATCAGCTGATCTACCCCCACAGCAGTGCGGAGGCGACCAGACGCGGCGCCACCGACGAGAAGCTCATGGAGCATCTGAACCGCGTGCAGCTGGGCTATCTGCTGGAAAGAGAGGACGGCCTGGATGCGGTCGCTGATTGGCTGGACGTGCTCTCAGGGGGCGAGAAGCAGCGAATCGCAATGGCGCGCCTGTTCTACCACAGGCCCCAATTCGCCATTCTGGACGAATGCACCAGTGCAGTCTCAGTGGATGTGGAGGGCAGCATGTATAAGTACTGTCGCGATGTGGGAATCGCCCTTTTAACGGTCTCGCATCGCAAATCTCTTTGGCAGCATCACGAGTATGTGCTGCATCTGGACGGGAGAGGAGGGTACACCTTCAAGCCCATTGAATCCGGAGCGGAACAGTTTGGATCTTAAAGTGTACATAGAATAAGTCGCAAAAGTTTAATCTGGTTCAAATTAGTTGCTTGGGTTCTCGCAGTTTAAGGCCATTAAATGATGTAGGTTTTTCAATTGCGACGTTTTATTTATTTATTTGTATTTTTCCTATTTGTCCAATATGGAGCAGAGCGCAAAAAGCCCGCAGTTTGCAGTGTTTCGGCGTTTTTAACTTTTACTTCTCGTTATTTTCACGCACTACTTAAGGCAGACTAATAACAATTTCCTTAATAAAATGCGATAAATAATGCAAAAGTTCGGGCTAGAACACATTAATTCGGCTTATCTAGTCCGGTTATTATGTGAATTCGCTTTTTTCCGCAATTACGTCGCGCAGTGTCGCAACGTGAACCCAATCGAGGACTTAACTATTTCTTATCGCAAATTGGGTCTATTGTAACCGCAACCAATGGGCCAAAGAAGCATGAATAACTGGTCGATTTCGCAGTGATAAGTCCGGATATTTAGTAAGATCAATGGCGCGCGTGTTGAACATGCCCGCAAATTTCACTTTTCCTGCACTAAATTTGTATAATTAAAATTAATCTATGAATAATCAATAAAGCGACAAACATAATACAAGAAACACACATCAGTATAATATTAGGAACAGGCATCAAACTTAAAGCTAGGGATCGAAAACAAAACTGCAAAGTATCACGAGAATGATATAAACTAATATAAGTAAAACAACGGCCTGATCGAGTGGAGGGTTCAATGGCTCCAGCCCTTCGTCAGCCTTCTCCATAAGCTGGGTTTTTCCAGATTTTCGGGCGGCGGCTGGTCATTCTTGATTTGCTCCAGGAAAGCCGCGTGCTGATTTTGGTTCTCTTGCGCGGCAGCGTCCCCAATCTCCCTCAAATCTCGCATCATTTTCTTCCGGATCGTTTTCTTCATACTCAAGTGTCGTTCCAGGGTTTTATACTTGTGTTTCGTGCGATTGTTGTCCACATTGCCTTCTAGCACAACTCGCGGGTTTTCTTTCTCTGCCTCCCTTGAACTGGCCGTCCACAGATCACGAACGTCTCTGATTCGCCTTTCGTTCATTGAAGCCATTTCTCATCCTTGGATGTTCTGGAATTTTGAAAATTTTTAGATAGTTATGATTTTTCGGGTATTTTGCAAACACTTGCGCTGTTGCTGTCTTTGACGAGGAACCCGCCATCGATTTAAGTCGCAAAAGTTGTCAAAACTTCCTTTACAATCGCGGATTTTCTAGTTTCAGGTGTCCTTCGAGAAACAATTTCAACAAATAAGACACTTTTTCCAACACGAACGCGTAAAAACCGGTTCATTTAAAACTTCAATTGCAATAAATCCTGCTTTACTGACAGCTGATTTCAAAGTTGATGTGTTTGTATTCACTCGTTGCTATGATACGCGTCTTGTTTTCAAAGAGTCGACAAGCGATTGGTCGGTCAAGTTTACGTGTATCCGGAAAAACACGTCACCAGGGCCGGTTGCTAGACAACGAAGGTTGTTGGTTTCTTCGAAAGTGGAAAAGTCCTGATTTTATGCCGAAAATTTTCCTGGTAGAAGAAATGAATTATTGACGAATGGGTGAGTGAAGTTTTGATTTCTGGCCGGAATTTTTCTAAGGGTGGGGTTCAGTTTTTTGAAAAATGGAAATTTTCTCAAAATGTCTCAGATTTTACGTCATTTTCAGCTCACCGGCGCGAGCAATGCATCGAACTCATTAAAAAACATGCTAGAAGTTTCAGATGGAATGCACTCTTACCTTGTCACCCTGTAGAATGCTCTTGTTTTCCAATATACCGGGTCTCAATTTAAAAACTTCCCACCCTTAATATCCCGCGAACGATTTAAGTCGCAAACATCGTCAAAATTTCCTTGGCAATCGCGAATTTTCTAGTTTAAAGTCACATTTTCGGGTCCTTCGAGAAACAATTTCAAAAAATAAGACACTTTTTCCAACACGAACGCGTAAAAACCGGTTCATTTAAAACTTCAATTGCAATAAACACTGCTTTACCGACAGTTGATGTGTTTGTATTCACTCGTTGCCATGATACACGTCTTGTTTTCAAAGCATCGACAAGCGATTGGTCGATCAGGTTTATGTGTTTCCGGAAACACGTCACCAGGGCCGGTTGCTAGGCAACGAAGGTTGTTGATTTCTTCGAAAGTGGAAAAGTCCTGAGTTTATGCCGAAAATATTCCTGGTGGAAGAAATGAATTATTGACCAGGCTCTTATGGAAAACTAAAGAAGAATCAGCATCAAGGTAGGTACCTATTTTTACAGTATACAGGGTCAATTTGAGGGTCAAGTGGCACCATCAAGGTCATTTTAATCGTTTTAAAGGGCGTTCAATTCTCGTTACGCTCGTTACTACTTTGTTGCTTTTTGTCCAGAGGTTTTCGAATAATCACGTTTCAAAGGTGTAAAAACAATTAAACTTGCGTGCAGTCAGATATTGGTTTTCAGGTTTGTTAAAATAGTGAATACCAGGAAGAAAATCTAGATTAAACATCAAGGGCGGATCCAGGGGGGGTCGTGGGGACCCCATTTAATTCTCTATCCAACGATGCCAAAACGAATTCTGTGGCTCAAATGGTTCTTGAGAAACCTCGAAAAAAGCAGCGTCATGTACAAGTGGATTTTGCACCTCAAAAAAAAAACACGCAAATCTAAAACTTCCTGAATTCAAGCCTTTTTTGAGAAAACTGCCAACATTTCCCCATCCATGGTTCACTTTCTGAAAAGGCCATTTATTTCTGTCTAGAGTGATGTACAAATGAGCGTTCTTGCTCATTTTGCCTCCGAGAAATGAGCAAAAACGAGACGGAAAACATGGAATCTTGGCAGAATTTTGCACCTAAGTGTCTGATATTAAAATTTCGCTTTCTGTGTCAAAACTACTCGAATTTCCTCACTCATGTTGTTACGACTGAATGAAAGAAGTCTAAGGGTGTTCAATCCGGTGATCTTGGAGGCCATTCAATTGGTCCCCTTCTGCCAATCGATCTATCCGGGAATATCTTTAGGAAAATAGACTTTATTATTGTTTACAGGAAAATAGCCAACATTTTGAACAAGTTACAAGATATATTTGTTTAAATACTAATCTGAAAACCAAAATTTCAATGCAGGAAAGTTTAAATCTGAAGATGAAACAGCAACGTAGTAACTAATGTAAAGAGAATTGAACGCCCTTTAAAGCGATGGGCCACTTGGCCCCCCTTCCCATTTAAGATTCTAAGGGTGACATCCTAAAGGCTAAAAATATTATTTGAAAGTGTCCACCTTGCAAATAAAATTTACGGGTCTTGGCGATTTTTCTTCAAAGTCACGCGCTACTGGCTTTTGTATGAGAAAAAAATTGAATTTGGCAAGTCTCTAATGATGTAGAAAATCGATTAACTGTCTAGGTGTACTAGGAAGCAATAAACTGGTTAATCTCAATGCTATTGAACACTACAATATAGAATATCATAAGGATTAAGTGCGAAATGGTTAAACAATCAATTGGGAATAAAACTGTGCCTGAGCAGGATTAGTCATGAAATATGGTTGCAAACGGATCTAGATCGATTCGTTTTGATTGTAAAAGGTGGTTTCATGGATTGTGAAAGTCCTTCAAGTAAAATCGCGACGATAAACGAAAAATTATACCCCCATTTCTCCGTTTAATATTCTTTTGTTAGAAGCTGAGAGAGGAAATGTTAAGCGGATTCAATAGCGATTGTTTAGGCGTTTTCGAAATTGATTGGAAAACTTACCAGTTTAACAACAACGGAAAAACAAAGACACTGATGTAATGGGAGGCTGTGTGATGTCTTTTGTTTATTATTAGATTTTAACAGTTATATATCTGGCGGCAGCACCGTTGAACTTTATAAAGCGATGTTAAAACGAACTGGTTTGGCGCATAAAATCACCAAAATAATGGATTACTTACTTGCATTGGCAGTAACACGAAAACCTCTAAAGCACTAATGGTTACCTCGTATTATTTCCATTTGCAATTAGGTTTTGAACTTTAACACAGAACGATTTTGCCAGTGCACTATTAAGACGTAACAACTATCGAGTCGAGCAACGGCTTCGCAAGAGTCAAGGTGAACAACTTCTTGGTCCTCCTTAACATTTGACTCATTCAAGCGCTCCAGATGAATTATTTATAACTAATTAAGGAAATCAACAATCGTCTCGACTTACCCCCCTGTCTCACTACGAGACCTTTTACTTGTCGGTTGCCTCTGAGCGCACTATTTTCGTTTATTCTTCGGCTTGTTGCTCGGAGGACTTTTACTTTCGGTTTTGTGGCTAGGTAGGCGACCAAGTTTGTTTCTTTGTATTCAAAGCTGCGCTTTTTTACTTTCCTCGCTCGCCGGCCACCGATTCTTCATTCAAACGCCATCCGCATCTACACTATCTTCGCATTGGAGAACAATAGAGCCCCGATCGTTAACCAACCTGTAAATCTCGTTAATTTACGTGATTGCGCAAATATTGACTAACGGCCATATCGGCACGATAAGTGCAAACGGTTAATATACAGGGTGAATGTTCAAAACAACTATGCAGAGGCTCACTTTGGTGGTCATTCGGCGATTTTTACGTCCTTTTTAGCACGAGTGGCGTGCATCTGCGAAACTCACCAGTTTGTCACCAATGTTGCTTGAAACCTGGCGGACATACATGTTTTCCTCACAAATGTGCAGCAAACCAGCCCTAAAGGTGCCGAGAAACTGCAGATACTTTTCTCATTTTCGTGATAGAAATGCGAGCATTTGCCGCAAGTTTGACTAGTTTCTTTAGGTGTCTTTCCCTTTTTTGGAGAGTTTCATAAAGAGTAGAAGTAGGTTTTTTTTTAATATCAGTTATCGAAAAAAAACTGATTTCATCACATTACGCCGATTTTTTCTTAAAACGTCAAGTCACTCAAAATGCCTCAAATTCTACATTGTTTTCGTCCCAAGCAAACAAGGAATGCGAGACGCACAATGAAAAATACGAGAGAAGCTTAAATTTTGTAATTTTTAACATTTTTGGTCCATTTTCGTTCTTGAGAAACTTCGAAAAAAGCAGCGTCATGTTCAAGTGGATTTTGCAACTCAAAAAAAAACCACGCAAATCTATAACTTCTTGAATTGATGGAAAACTGCACATTTATCGATGGTTCACTTTCTGAAAAGGCCATTTAGTTCTCTTTGGAATGATGTAAAAACGAGCGTTCTTGCTCATTTTGCTTCCGAGAAACATG